AGGACTGCTTTCCCACCTCCTCCTGGAGCAATGACAGTGAAGCAGGTTGGAAATTTGACGTGGAAGTGAGCATCACATTTATGTCGCTCCCCATTCCCTGACACCCCATCTTAAGGGAAACACCCCTGCTCCATGGCCCTTCAGCTGTGTGCTCCAGCTATGGTTTTCTAGTGTTCCCCTGGCCAGAATAGAAGCTTCCATGCATTCTTGGAGCTTCTGTGTCCCTTTCACCCCTGGTGTTTACACAATAGGTGCCCAGCAAACAGTTTACAGTGGATGCTCGAGTTACAACCGGCCTGACATACCAACAATTTGGGTTATGACTGCAATTTTAGTTTTCACTTGTGACCATCATCTTGACTTACAACTTGAATGCCTGCCACTTGTGCTTCCAGGTGGTCTCAGATACAGGTTTAACCTGTACAGAGGTCTGGAAGGAACATCACAGCATCCTTTCCTGTGTGGGGTTAACTAGGTCAGTGTCTGAGGACACTGAGATCCGCCTGTGTACAGAAGAGAGACTGTGAAGGCTGTGGAGGGGAGCCTGAGCCTTCAACTGACCACCTTGAGTTACAGCCAGCCCTCAGGAATGAATTGAGTTCGTAAATCCAGGGTCCACTGTGCTTGGCTGAGTTTTCATGGAGTTACTTCCATCAAACTTTCTTTTCAGTCAGAACTTCAGCAACAATTATGGGTGCCTGCTCCATACTAGACCCTACTCCAGACACTTTCTCATCAGTGCATTGCTGACCCAAAGAGAAAAGAGACAGAGTCCCAGGAAAAAGTTACCATATAGAAGGGCACATTGATGACACACAGCAAATACAAACCAAAATTCTCAAGAGGTGATCAGAATGGAGGGGTTTGCGGAGAAGGTGATGTTTGACTTTGATGCATGAACACCATTTGCCAAACAACAAAAGAAGCCTGTTAGATCTGGATCTCAATTAACATTGTCACTTCTGTCTGTCTTACTCTAGAAGGTCCTGGGCTCCTTTGTAAACTGCTATAAGAATCTCAAAGATAAGGCAGGGTTGCTAAGGGGGAAAACAAAGGAGGACCCAAACACCAGGATGATTTTCTACCTTCTCCATCTTCTGTTCACAGAGCAATTATAAATGAATAAAAATAACAAAAGTTAACACAATGAATAACTACAGTAAGTCAGCAGTACTTAAAATCTCACTGCATAGTTAATAAGATAGTTACATCTCCCTGTCATACCCTAGTCAAAACTCATGAATAATTAGTGTCTCAGCAAAATAATGAAAACACACACACAAGTTCATGCAGATCCACAGAATAAACTGTTCAAATCCCACAAGTGTTATTTAAGAATTTCTCTTAGATTAGTAATTAAAAATATAAATGTGGAATTTTAAAGTATAAATTTGAGGAAATTATCAAATTTTAAAAATACCCAACAACTAATTCTTTATTGTAGAGCCAATTCAGGGTTTTATTTTGAAGTAGAAGAATCATTTTTTAGAAAATTTCAGTTTCACTGGTCTATCTCATTACCTGTCTGTACCAGATATATTTGTTATTACAATAACCAAAATAAGTGGATATTTCATATTTTTATCTCTTTACCTGAAAAACATTAACAAAAACCAACTGTCTGACTTTCATTGATCTAGGGAATCTAGATTTTAAGGAAACATGAGCTATCTTATTTTTACAAAAGACAGGATTCTGGTAGGCACAAAACTAGAATTGCATTTAAGCTGGGGTTCAAAGAAACATCCTCCCCACCCAGCACGATTTCTACATTCACATATTGAACACAAAACAATTGTAAATATACAAGAGAGAGGGAAGAATAATCTAGTCGGGACAGATGGTTATTTTTGGTTTAAAGATACCACAATGCTCATTTTGTTAGTCATACGCAAGCTCCTAAGTCTAACACCGTCTTAATGTATTTTTGGCAAGCTATGGACATTTGAGGGGGTTGGATTGCCAGCAGCACATTAGAGAAAATAGTGCGTTGTTTGTATTTATCTGGTTTTGTATAGTGGAACACTACACTGACCAAGTTGGCTGGAACAAGCATCTTTTATTAACACACGTTTAACAGGATTTAAAATATTCATAAGAAATGTGCATTATTATTATTTGGCATCAGCACACTAGATTTTTAAAAATGCATGGAACTGGATATTGGTGGTACACTGATGTAAATGACAGATTATTTGAAAAAAAATCTATTAAAATTCTTCACAACCCTTTATCCGTCCATGAGAACGTTGCGCAGCACCCAGGCCTGAGTTTCCCTGGTGGTGTCTCGTTTCTTTAGGTTTCTCTTTCTGGTTTCAGCTGTGTCACAGGCTTGATGAACCTCCTTGTCACAAAATATCACACTGCAAATACTGCCATGGGTGACCTCTCTAGGTGCTGGGAAGTTCTGAGAATGTGGGTAACAGAAGAGAAGTGGCTCCCGTGGGTGGTATGGAATTTAAACGTGGGCACCGGGTGACTCCTCCATTTCATTCTGTAAGATGATATGTGAAATTTCTACACAGGAAATCCCACTTTGGTGGGCAGCAAGTTCTGCTCAGGATCAAGTTGAATGTGTGTGCTGGCAGGCAGCTGGCAGGAGAGGGGGCTTTAGAAGCAATGCTTCGTGGCCGTGACAGAAAACCTGCTTGTGCCCAATGCCAATCACTCAGTCTCTGTCAATTCAATTGCACATCGGCTTGGAGATGGCCTCCATCTCCACTGACACCCAAAATATAGAGGACACCGTTCTCGCTGTGTGTTGGGGGTGAGTGTGTGCTGGCAACTTAACCTGCAGGGACCAACAGCTCTCCTGAGTCTTTGTTCATGTTTCGACTTCCCAGTGTCCATGCAAAGTAGAGGCAGGGTGAGTCCATCCATCTCGGGAGAAGGATTTCAATAAAAACGACTGCTTGGGTTTCCTGAGTTGCTACCTGCTGTGCATTCCAGTGTTACTCATTCTTACTTAAGGGAAACACAGGCCACCCCAACCCAGACCCCAAGTATCACAAAGATGGTAGGGCCTCTGCACGAAAATCCTCAGCACACACAATCTGTAGGGCTCATTTTATAAAAAGAGGAGACAAGAGGTAAGTTTGCTCACCAAAGAATACAGTACTAATTGGTAATCGGCAGCACCTTGGATTCTATTTATGGGCCACTCTCTGCCTAGAGATAGGAGGTCACAGCCCCCACTCAGTAAGGATTGTGGGCAGATGGCCACTGAGAGAATCCTAGTGTGCCCTTTCTCTAGGGGAAAAGAAATTTCAATGTCAAGAAAGGATGTCCTTTCCCTCTTCTTCCAACCTGGCAGTCTATTGCATCAGGATCTTTGCAGTGGGATGAATAATTACTTTTTTCATCTTCATTGAGCGACATTAAGGATGCTGCTATACATAAGAATATCAGAGATCTGTCTTCAATTTAAAAAAAAAATTTAAAAGAATCTATTTTGAGCCTGAGCACTCCATCCAGTTCCTAAATCTGAACACAAGTAGTGGCCATGGTGTTTGATTCTCCAGACTGTGTGTGACATTCCCTCTAAAAGGTGGGGCATTAATGCTTCATAGGTCTTGGGTGCCATTTATTCTACTGCACTGATAATTTTCTAAATGGTACCCTTGAGACCAAAAGCACTGGATGAACCCTTGAAAACTGCCTAAGTTTTTCCTAGGGAGTAATGACAAATTGGGAGAAATGGATTAAGTATCATATATTATTGTTCATAATGGTGTTTTTAAAAAATGAAGTAAATTTTAAAGATAGAAAATTGTTCCAATTCTCTCTCATTTTATGTCTTATCATCACTAAAATAATACAATTAAAAGTATTATAAAAATAAAACCACCTACTTAATACATAATTGATACCACTTCCAATTCTGTACCACTGTATTAATACCCAGCTTTCTGAGAGTCACTTTGGTTCTCATTAGATATAAAGCCAGAATGGCAATTGGCCAATAGAACAACATTTCCTAAGGAGTCTATGATTAAAATACTCGACAAGATTAAAGGGACAGGAAACAAGGGAATGGAATTAATATGAGAAAATAAAAAAATGGAAACAAAGTCTTTATAAATACGGAGGGCAGGGGAAGGGGGTAAAATAAGAACCAAGAGAGATTTTGTAAAGGTGCAAATTCCCGATGATGAATGTCATTCTATTGTATACCTAAAATGTACCAATAAAATAAAATTTAAAAAAAAATTAACCATAAAAACCTCATTATTCAAAGATACAGTTCCTCATTCACTCTGCATAACTTGATTTCCAACTTTCATACATGAATATTTCTCTTTAAATATTTACTCATCAAAAAAATAAATATTTACTCATCTGGAGATATAATTTGTATAAACCAAATATTATATCCATGTATTTATTTCCTAAACATAACTTAGTTAAAGCATGTTTATCAAACATAGCTTTCCAATGGAAATCTAGAAAATTCTCCTTATTACTTGCATAAGGCAATTGTAATGTATGCTTTGTGTTAGATGCAGAATCACTGAGGTCAGACTCTACTTCTCTGTCCTAGAGGTGCATTTTGGGTGTGGGTAAAAGCACAACAGGATCTATTTCCCGGAATAAGTACATAGACCCACTAAGTACTCTCAGGATGCAACATCCACATTGCTTGCATTCCCTCCGACCTGCTAGAATTCCTCTAGAGCAGAGAACACTGTCACAGAGCAGAAGATGCCAACCCTGCTTTTGCAGGGTGCCTAAGTGGACCCCAGAGGACAGAATGGAGTCATATCCTAGGCTGCTGTGAATTTCTTCCTGTCTTTAGACCAAGCCCTCCAGCACTCCAAGCCAACATTTCTCTTCCTTCTGGAGAGAATGACCACCCTTGTCCTCTCTCTTGCCTGGAAGAGATTATTGGCATTTAATGACAAGAAAAGAGAAGAGGCTCATTTTCTTGCTTTGGAAGAATTAGATGTTTAAGCCTCCCTAACATCCAAGACATTTGGCTGGGTATGGCTCAGACCACTTACCATCCTCTGCAGTCAAGAGTGGGATCCAAGAGCTGTGTGCACTGCCAAATGCATTGGAGGCAACCAGCCGGAACTCGTACTCACTGCATGGCTGGAGATCGGTCACTTCATAGCTCAACAATGCAGAAGGGTTGGAAAATAATCTGTAAGGGAAAGAAATGTTGGTTAGGAAATTTTAGGCCTGCAAAAAAATAAAAAGCAGGTTAAATCCTCTGGCAAAAAAAAAATGTAGAGAATGTCAACATGCACTTAAGTACTACCATTTTGTGCCATCAAATGTCATCTCTTTCCAAATAAGTATCCATTGGCCGGGGCTTTGGAACCGTGTATTCATAGGAGGTGTAGATTCTAGGAGTGCCAATTTCCCGGTGAAATTTGCAGGTATTATAATTTTCTAGCCACACTACAGACAGTGGCTTGTCAGTTTCAGGTTTATCCCCACTTCATGCAATACCTGTGATCATGAAACCTTACTTCAGTAAGAAGAAATCTTTACTTCGGTGTGAAAGAAATCTTACGTTGAATGCCACATAACTGAAAAATAGATGTTTTTACAAAGCAAATAATTATGTAGTAGGTTGCTCACTTGTTTTTATCTGCGCTTTTAAAAGGTAACCTGTGTCAGTTGCAAAATGAGAACTGGCCTCTTCTTCAAACAGTTTATGTGCACTTGGAAGAAGCCAGTTGAGAGCAAGGGGGCCAAGGGAGAAAGCTCACTCTCGGAAGCCGTGGCTGGTGTGGGCAGGCCTCATCTGGAGCTGGTATCTGGGAGAGCCAGGAGCGTTGTTCCGAGCTGGTGTAGACCAGACAACCTGAAGACTGGTTGGGGTGGCAGATGAAAGCCTGGGAGGCAGCACACCATCTGGAGCTGTCGAAAAACACAGATGAATTAGAGCAGAGAAAACTGTGGTGAACATATGCCGGGTGGGATCGAAATGCTCCATATCCTGGAAAAACTGTTCCTCGGGATCAACAACAATGTTAAACATGGTCCATTTAATTTAACATTTTCATTCCTGAACTACTGCATTTCCTTATTGTTCATTTCAACACAATTACATTAGTATTTCACTTCTGAAAAGCCAGCCCCCAAATGGCAAGACAAATGAATATGTGGCACTTTCCCACCTGTACTTCTGCTGGTCTAATTGCAAACATGGAGGGGATTTAGTGAAGCAAATATTAGAGACTTTTTAATTTACTGCTGTCATCAGCAGACCTGCAGCTCAACACAGACGCAGTCCAGGTCTCTTATGCTCTATATTCCTCCCATCCGTGTCACCCCTTGTCACCTTAAGCAGAACCCTACTCATGAACAAAACTGGAATTTTGTTTTTGTTTTTGCAGGAAAGGAATTTTGCTAAAACTGAATTTTTCTGTACTGATGAGTACAGAATATTGCAGTCTTAATTCTCACTCATGAAAATACGAACCCTAAATTTTTCCTCCCTTGCCTTATACTGTCCTATACTTCCCAGCATCCTGCCCTTACACAAACATGAAATCAGTTGCTGCACGTGTGTTGTTTTTTCTAGCAGAGCTAAAGCTGTGCTAAATACATTATAATCAAATTATAAGTGCTGAATTTAGCATACCTGCTTGATAGAATCCAACAGGGAGATCTATTGAATGGTTCTAGAAGGCCTAGCAAGAATAAATAAAACTAAAGCCTATTCTACTAAGATATTTCAACAAGATGATTCTGGCTATTTAGTTTTTCTACCAAGTATAACTTGAATGAACCTTTCATAACAGCGTTTGTTCCACAACTAGCCAGAAACATAAAAGTAAATTAAGCAAAGCTCTATGGCTAAAGGAAAATCATCTAATAATGTTGAGCCTATGTTTGCTATAAAATAAGGGTAATATCCTTCTCTTGTAGGATTGTTGTGAAGAACAAGGGCTATATACAAAGCATCTTATGTTGGGCTCTGGGAATTATTAAATGTTAACTATCATTAGCAGTACTATTACTGCACTGGACTGATCTGAACTTCCTTTAGCATAATTTAATACTATAATATTAATTTTTAGGATTATTGTGATTATTCTAACGTAAGTTCATCAGAACCACAAGAGAAGTGACTAATAACAAAAGCAAGTGAAATATCAAGGTCCATTTCCAATCTTTGTTCCCATACAACCCTGTGTCACTTATATGTCTTGTGTGCCCCACGAATCAGGAGAGCCTGCCCATGAGCACTGAGGCTAACTAATGCCCGGGGATGAGTGGGAGGATTAGATTACAGGTGCCATCCATCTCATGCAAGGGTCTTGAGTTCATTCATAATTTATTCATTTGCTCAATACACATTCATCCAGGCTCCACTCTGTGATAAACACTGGTCTTCCCACGGAGGGAAAATGGCCCGAGTACAGCAGACGCTGTTCCTACCTCTTACATTTATGGGTAGGAACAGGCAATGATGAGCAAAAGGATACACGAAAGGATGTCACTGAGGATGATAACTACCCTGGAGAAAAATTAAGCAAAGTGAGAGAAGAGAAAGTGGAAACGATCAGGCAGTTAGTTATCAGATGTAATTTGGATCCAATGGGGGGACCATAGGAAGGCATGTGTTGGGGGACATTGGGGCAGAAGCGAGGGGGCCGTAACATCTGGAGGAAGAGCAGCCCAGCCAGGGGACAGCAAATGCAGAAGCAGGAAGGAGAGGAGACTCTGGTTGCTGTGCAGGAATGGCCAAAAAAAATGCCTATGCTGCTGCAGCGGAACAAGGAAGGAGAGGAGAGAATGGAAAGGAAGATGGAGAACAGGTGGAGTTGCATCCTGAGGGATGCTTGACATCAGCCAGGAGCTGTGGGTTGTGCTCTAAATAAGGCCAGGAGCCACTGCAGAGCTTTGTAAGGGAAAGCACATGACCTGACTCTAAACTTAACAGACCGCTCTGTTATCATACCAGGGTGAGGGGCAAGAGTGGAAAGAAGGGCTTTTCCTACTGCGGCATCCAGGCAGAGCATAGCGGTGCCTTACATTTGAGAGGCAGAAGAGGAGGTGGTGAGCAGTCTTGCTGTTGAGTGGGAAAAGGTTTGCTTACAGAAAATTAAAGGAGCCAAAGATGATGCCGATGTTTCCCGCCCACAGACTCAGGCAGGTGGTGGTGTCCTTCCTGGGATGGACAGCACTGAGACGAGGTTATGGCAGGCTGGTCAACGGTTTTATTTTGTCTAAGTTATCCATAAAAGGTGTATTGTATGCTTAACTCTTTAGTGGAGAAATCAAGGAAGAAGTTGCAGAAATGGGTTCAGATGGGAGTTGCAGGCCAACATAGATGCGCTGTGGAAAGGCTGAGATGCAGTGATGTAGACTAGGGAGTGAGGTGCAGACAGAGTGAGCTGAGGAGAGGGTAAATGGGAGAGGTGAGTGGATACAGTGATTTCACACAACCCATGTGAAGGAGTTAGTTCTAAAGGGGAGTAAAAAATGGGACCACGGCTGCAGAAGCTCATGCTTTCAGAGCCAGGTTTTCTGCAGACTGGGAGCTGTGGCATCATATCTGCATGTCTATTGGACGTGTCTCACAAGAGACTGGAGGATGTGACAGTGTAGGAGAAGAAAGAGTCACTGCCAGAGCAAAGTCCCCGTGTGGGGACAAGGAGACAAAGCAGGGCACGAATGCAAGAATGGGGCATGGGGCTGCTGTTGTTGCCAGGTGCAGGGACAGCTGCCCATGGTGCAGAAGTGAACGCAGAGGCTGATGTGGCAAGGGTAGAATCCGTGACAGGGAAGCAGCAAAAATCTTTCCTGTGGATGCCCACTGTCACATTGAGCAGAATAAAAGCAAAGCCATCAGCTCAGCACACACAGTAAAAGGGAGGCATGACAGGAAATGCAGGAACACTGCCTTCCAGGGCCCACTGTTCAACAACTTAGCTCTAAATCCTTGGTTTGAAGGACATTCAGTGCTAAAGACTTTAGCAATGATACTTTACCAACACAAACACTTGAAGCAATGCTCTTTGCTTATTTGATAAATATTCTTTAAATGATTTATAACAAGGGCACACATGTAAGACAAGCACTGAAAAGACATGGGAACAAAGTAAAGCCCAAATTGCACCAGAGGCAGAATGTATAAAACCACGTCTCTTTTTTTGATTACTGGCTTTTGTCTACTTTTCCTGCATCAAGGAGAATATATATCATTGACCATCTAAATTCTGAATATTAGTTGGAAGTCATCGACATGAATGAAAAACACCAGTATTAACATGCAACAAAATCCCTTCACATGTTAAAAATTGCATTACTCTACTATTGAGAAAGGATGGAGGAGTGCCCCATCTCATAATAATACTAAAGTGGCGTACATTCTCCTCCAAATGATAACAAAACAGTCTTCTCATTAAATTGGTCACACTTTCATTATATTTCCAAACAAGGATCACCTTAAGCTATTTATGAAGAGCTACTCATCCGGTATGCTTTCACTACTGCTGCTTTCTGGAACCCTCTCTCCCGCTCTGTTTAACACTTTTATCCAAGATATACTCTGTGGAGGCTCCTTAGCACCTCAGCAATCACAGGGAGCCAGCCATAATTCCACCCTGGTTTCTGAACTGAAGAGCTCTGCATCCATCAGCCTGATATATTGTCTTCAAGATGCTCTGCTGCTCACAGAGCTTCTCTCGAGTTTAATATGACCCTCATGGGGCAAACACTCCACAGACAACCTCCTGAATCAACACATTTTGCCCAGTAAACACTAATCCTACCTGGCAACTGGGTAAAACGGCTACCCCAAGCTATAAATTCCAAGGCAGGGAGATTTTAAGTAAAATTTCAAAATTTAACCTTCTTTCAAAGGCAAAATTAATGTAAAACATTAAACAATAAATAAATCACAGATTGAACTGTGCTAGATTGCTAGCATGTTTTGAAAATATGATTTTATTAAACTCTTAAGTGATGTACACTTGAAGACTGTATCTAAAACAATTCTCCAAGCAGAAAATGATTTATACATGCCCCAAAACTTTGCTCCATACAGATTTACAGAACTCTTGGGGGAGAGCTTTAGAGCAAAAATAGAGGCCTTTCCCTCATAAAGCAGGTGACTCCTATAGCCATAGGAACCACAGGAAGAAAGCTTTAGTGAGAAACAACAATTCTTTCTCAGTGCATCCCACCCACTTGTTATACTTTGCAGTGTGTTTTTTTCTTTTTTGCATGTATGTATGGGTGTTTCAGAATAATGGGGAAAATGCTACAATAAAATACCAAAGAGATTTACATTCATTCATACATAAATTCAACTTTGTAATAAATGATATTGAATATATCACCCTGCACCTGGTCCTTGCTGGGGCGAACAAATGCAGAACAGGCACACAGAGGAATAAGCTTATCTATTTTTTACTGAATAGACTGATAAGGTGCGACTCAGAGAACTCCAACACGAAATCATATCCATAGCCTCACCAAGGCAGGCGTGCCCCGGGGGATTCGGAAGTCAGACATCTCCAGGGATGCCCTGGTCCTCGCCTCTCAGGGGACCAAGGCTCACGATGCTGGCAGCCTCACTTCTGAATCCCAGGCCCTCCAGCTCTTCCTGATTCACTCCGCACAAGTGTGACCCTTGGGCTGCATGCGCTTACATCTGACTCCACCCCGAGCTAGCCCTCCCAGCGGAGGTTAGATCTCTGGCATCTGCACGTAGGTTTTCTCCATTAACCTAAAAGAAAACACGGCCTTTGACCTCTAGGCACCCTTGTTGCATTGCTGAATAACCTGGCACACATTCAAAACCCTGGGATCACATATTCCACCATCATTTTCTGAAACAGCTACATACGAGCGAGGATTTTAAATTCTATTTTCCAGAACGGAAAATTAAAGTTCAGACACAT